CTGAATACGCCAACCTCGGGGTGTGGGTGTGCCGGCAAGTGGGTGTGTGTGTGGGTGGGTGGGGGGGGGGGGGGGTCGTGCCGTGCATGCATGCAGTCTGGATACGCCAACCTCGGGGCGGAACACGACCGCATGCGGACGTCTTCAGAGCACCGCGTGAGTACGCGGGGTGCGAAGACAGTGAGTACAGCCGAGCACGGCCGAGGACAACGGAAACGTGTGGCCGCTCGAGCGTTGCTTGGAGCACAAGAACACGTGTCGCGGGCTCGAGATTTGGGGAGTTTGGGGGAGATTGGGGGAGATTGGGGGAGATTGGGGGAGATTGGGGGAGAGATTCCGCTTCTAGGGACTGGGGCGTCCACGCAGGAGTCCAAGACTCGCTCTTGAGGATGTCGAGGCAGACCTAATCTCGGTGCGATCTCGGTGCGATCTCGGTGCGATCTCGGTGCGATCTCGGTGCGATCTCTCGGTGCGATCTCTCGGTGCGATCTCGGTGCGATCTCGGTGCGATCTCGGTGCGATCTCTGCAGGCTGTCCGGACAGGCGCAATCTCGTTCGACGTCGTCCGGTCTCGATCTCGCTCGATCTCGCGCAATCTCGGTGCGATCTCGCCACCTCGCCCGTCTTGAAGAGCACGTTTGGGTGGAAGATCGGAGTGACAAAGGTCACCTGCAGTGCACCGATCAAGAATGAGGAACGAATGAATAGGAGAGCAAGGGAGGGGAAGGGAGGGGAATGTCTCCACACACACACAGCGGTGGGGCAAGGGCCAGGCGACCCTCGCATCTCAGTAGGATGGCACAAAGGTTGCCGTGACAGTCGATCAACTAACGAAGACTCACTGTGTAGTACAATCATGCTGCGAGCGGGAGATGTGGGGAGACATGGGAAGATGTGGGGAGATACAGCCGAGATCTAGCCGAGATCTAGCCGAGATATGGCGCCTTTGGCGGCGCGAGCGGGTAGGATGGCGGGCACCTGAGAGCGAGAGGGCGCCAGAGGGAGGAGGGGGGTGGTGGGATGGTGGTGGTGGGGGGGGGCGGGGGGGGGGGGGTACCACCGGAAGAACCCCCACGAGGACGTGCCTCGTTAACTACTTGTCAATCAATTCATACATGGGTTCAGAGCTCCAGGGAGAAAGGGGGAGTGGGGGGGGGGGGGGGCAAAAAACCCCCCCGGGGGCCCTCCAAAGAGGGGGGGGGGGGGGGGGCTATGAGATAACTGCTCCTGACCCCCGTTCCCAACAAACAAGGCCTCCTCGACTGATGGAGGAGGGCGGTTGGAAAGAGAGAGGGAGACTGAGGGGCATGGAGGTGTGAGCGTGTGATGTGGCTCACGTGAGCCGAATCTCAAAGGTCCCCCCCTCGTAGGGCGTGCCGGCGGGGCCACGCAGCCTCGCCTGTCGGGTCGGCGGGGGCGGTAACGTGTGGTCGAGTATTGTGATACGTCGAGCGTGGATAGAGGCGGCTGCAGCTGTGGCGGCAGAGAGCTGTGGCGGCGGCGGCGGCGGCGGCGGCTGCAGCGGTAGCGGCTGCGGCTGCGGCGGCGCAGGAAGGCTTCTCGCGCCACAGCGGCGAGGAAAGCGGGTGGCCGCCAAGCTCGCCGTGCGACGGATGCTGTGGATGGTCGTGCTTCGAGACCCTCGTGTGCCGCGCGCCTCCCACCCGTTGATATCGGCCTCGTCGGCCAGCGATAGCGAGATTTCTGGGTCGTTCTGCTTGGCGAGCTCCTTGTACTCCTTGAGCAGCCGGTGGTTCACCATCGAAAGCAGCCGGGAGGGAGTGCCAAAGCGACGCCGGCCGGGAAAAGATAAACGCGGATGCTGGCCCACAACGCCCTCTATGTTGGGTAGAGCAAGCCTGCTCTAGTCTCACACGTTCGCCCCTGTCGCCTGTCTGTGTTGTTGTGCTGTTGTTTGTCTCTTGGCACCTTGGAGTGCTGGGGGGGGCGACAGGGGGGACGTGGCCTGAGTGATGTGTACGCCCACTCAGGATGTGTGGCAGCCCGCTGGCTGTGTGTCTTGTGAGCTTGTTTGTGTCTGTGTGTCGCTCGTGCGTGTCGTCATCATCTGTCTTGCGTCCACCCATACCGCGTTGGTGTCCAGTCCGAGCCTGACTGTTCTTCACCTTACTACATACATACATGTTACGGTCGAGTGCGTGTTCCATCCACCCTCGCCTCCACCGTCGCCGCAATCGCCGCCACCCCCCTCCGACTCGGACAGCGACGGCATCCCCGACGCCGAGGAGGGCACAGCCGACTCTGACAGCGACGGCATTCCCGACCGACTCGATCCCGACTCTTGGCCCGTGAAGCGTTGTGGCGAGGGATTCGAGAACGTCGCAGGCTACGTCAACGGTCAAGGCACGCTCAGGAACGTTCCGTTGGCCATCCCTGGCTTCCGGTCACAAAATTACATCAAAAACGGCAGACCAGCGTGCAATTCGAATCCGCAACGGCTCGGCGAGGGGCTCACGGCGGGGTCGCACACGGCAGGGGTGACGGGGCCGCTGTGGAGCGATGTGGTCAGGGGAACGACGAGACACAAATGGGACAAGCGCCAGCGGATCAAGGATCAGCACGGCGAGCGCGAGATTGAATTCGCCCTTGTCGTGCCAGTGTGCTGTGAGAGAGGTCTTAAGAATTCTTTTCGCGCGCCCCGATCACCGCTCGGAGCAAGCCAAAACGCCTCCTCCGTCCACTCTCTCACGGCGATGCAGCCCGATCTCGAGCCGGCGCACGGCCCAGCCGCTCGTTGGCAGCACGCGCTCTCAAGCTTCGGCCTGCTCCTCACCGGCCGGCTTGAGCTCCGGAACGAGATCCTCTCTGCGCTCTCCGTGCACACAAAGACACCGTTCCAGCCGCGTGAGTCGCAGCGTGAGCACGAGGTGTGGGAGGAGCGCTACTTTGTGCTGACGCGCAAGGCACTGCACTACTACATCCGCGCGCGCGGCGACCGCTCCGGCAAGGACGGCATGTTTGGGAAGCACGAAGGCACCATCGGCTTCAACCGGATCGCGGCCGTCGTCGAGGACGCCGCCAACCGCGAGGTGGAGCTGGTGACGCGAGGCCCCGGCCGCAACTACGTCCTCCGCGCCAAGTCGCGCGCCGCGTACGAGCAGTGGGCCTCGACACTCCTCGCCGCCTCGCGCGACCAGTTTGGCTCTCGGGCCTAGCAGCGGGAAGATACGTGTTGTCGTATTCCAACTAGGAGGACAAGTACTCGACCGTAGTCCGCCGTACAGATTGCACTCACATTCCTCGCATTCGCGCGTACCCGCCCTGATGTTGGTGTGATCATCTCGTAGGCTCCCTTGACCACTTCTCGTCGTCGGGATCGCTCAAAAACATCCCGTCGCTGATCGACTTTCGCGTGCCGCCGCCGCCGCAGTCGCCGCAGCGGAGCGACAATGTGACCTACGTCTGCCTCGCCTCCGCCTCGCTCGGCACGAAGCCTCCTGCTCGCGGGTGCCACATTTCTTTTTTGGTATGTGTTTCTTTTTTCTAGGTATGAGCCTGCTGCTCGAGCGCGGCGTGCCGTGGGGCGACTAGCGCTAGTCTCCTCTCTTCTTCCTGTGAGACGAAGCCGCCACCTAAACAGCGAAATCTGCCCACAGGCGTCGAGCTGAGCCTCTCCTCGTCTTGCGGCTCCGCCTGCAGCCTCGACTGCGCCCACGACTCGCTCTGCGTCGCTCTCGAGGGCGGCGGGTCTGCGAGCCTCGCGCCGCTGTGAACAGCGTCTCTTCACACCCGCAGCTGTGAACAGGCGGCGGGTCTGCGAGCTTCGCGCTCGCGCCACTTGAGGCCGGAGAGGCAGGCTCCGCGACCGTTGCAGTGCAGCCGCCCGTGCTGCTCCACTCTCACATCCGCGTTAGCTGGCGCCCGGTCGCGCCGCCGCCCGCCGCTGTGAACGGCGTCTTTTGACACCCGCAGCTGTGAACAGGCGCCCCGTCGCGCCGCCGCCCGCCGCCGCCACCGCCCGGCCAGGTCCGTTGGGCGTGCTGCTGCTGCTGGAAGCCGCGGCGGCCGCCGCAGCGGCGTGTGTGGCGGCGACGCTGTGGCCGGTCCTTTGGGGCGGCGGCACGGCCGGAGCAGGAGCAGCGTTTCCCCCGACGGCAACTGCTGCGGTTGCGGCGTGCGTGCTGCAGTCGGTGGCCGTTGCCCTACTGCTTGGGGTGCGCGGCGCGCGCCGCCTCTCCGCCCGCGCGCCGCCGCCCCTCCGCTGCTGGGCGCTCGAGCTGTCGCCGTCGCTGCCGCCCGCCGGCGCGCCGGCAGCGCCCGCGGGTCCTGCGGGCGGGAGGACGGGGGCGCAGCTGCCTCCGACGGCCGGAGAAGCGAAGCCGCTGCGACGGGTTGGCGGCTGCGACGACGACGACCCCGCCGAGCTCCCCGTCCCCGCCTCGGTCGGCCGCCGGCAGTACTACCCTCAACGCGCCGCCGACTCTCCCGCCCGCGCCTGCGACCCGCTGCCGTCGCCCTCGGCCGCGTCGCCGCTGCTGCCGCCGCTCGACGCACCCCCATACACCTCAAACTACACTCCGGCGGCGTCGCCCGAGGCGCCGGCCACGCCGCCGCCCTTCTTGAAGCGGCGAGCGCGCTCGCAAAGCAGCGACGGCGGGACGGCTGCGGAGGAGGAGGACGAGGGGGAGGTGCAGGAGCTGCAGGTGGACGCGCTGCTGGCGGACATGTGCTCCGAGGAGCACTCGGTGCTGCACGAGGCGTGCGCCGCCTTCCGCGCGGCAATGCAGCCTGGCGAGGCGGGCCTCGTCGCGGACCTCTGCGGGCAAGGCACCTGAGATACGGGGAGAGATGGGGAGACTATGGGGAGAGATGGGGAGCACCCGTTCTACATCGACTCCGTCAAGGCACCCGAGATACGGGGAGAGATGGGGAGACTATGGGGAGAGATGGGGAGAGCCCGTTCTACATCGACTCCGTCAAGGCGTTCCGCACATCCCATACCCCCACGGTACCCGCGCCCACTCCCCTACCTCCCACGGTACCCGAACCCAAAGGCGTTCCGCTGGCGATGGAGCCGAGCCTGCGCGCGCTGGAGGCGGGCGTGATCAGGATCAACCAGGCGCTCGGCTTGGCGCTGCTCGTCCGGAACGACGAGGCCAACCTGCGCAAGGTGCGCGACGCAGCCTTCACCGCCGCGCAGGCTGGCCGGCCGTGTCGCCGCTTGGGCGCGTTGCTTGAGGCCGAGGTGGACGCGGGGGCTCACGCGTTGGCCGAGGGGGACGGCAGCGCACAGCTCGCGGACCCGTCCGCTGCCATCGCGCTGCTGTGGCTGCGGCGCGCGCTCCACCTCACCATCGCCCTCTGTCGCGGCGTCCTCCTCGCGGCGGACCCGCGCGCCCTCGACGAGGCCGGCGGCGACGGGGGCGCGGCGGCGGCGGCGGGCGGGGCGGCGGGCGGGGCGGCGGGGGGCGGCGGCGCGGAGACGTCTCGCCGCTCCTCCTTCAGCGGCTGGGCCGCGGAGCGGCTGTCGGTCGCGGCGGAGCGCGAGCCGGTGCGCACGTCGGCCATCCTGCGCCAGGCGTACGGCGAGGCGCTCGAGGCCTACCACTCGTGGGTCTTCTCGGCTGTGAACGGCGTCTCTTCACACCCGCAGCTGTGAACAGGCGCTCGAGCCCTACCACTCGTGGGTCTTGCGGCAGGCGTTTCGGTATTGCCCGAGAGGACCCGAGAGGACCCGAGAGGACCGGAGAGGACCCGAGATGACCCGAGATGCGACGAGATGGCATGAGATGGCATGAGATGACCCGAGATTGCCCGAGACGGCCCGAGGCTTGCGGCAGGCCTTTTCGGTCTTTTGCAGCGCCGCGCCCGACTACGAGACGCTGCTGCGGCTGATTGGCCCCGGGCTGGGCGACGTGGAGCGCGAGGCGGTGGTGCTCGGGGATATCTACCACTTTGTGCGCGAGGCGACCCCCTCCTCTCGCGGCTGATTCACACCACATTGACAGTGGACTCACTCATTAATGAATTCAAAATAGGCGACCCCCTTCCTCGCCCAGCTCGAGCGGCTCTTTTTCGAGCTCCGCCTCGAAGACACCCGAAAGATCTAAGGCGCCGAGTGGAGGCGGGGCTGCGGCCCTTCGGGGGTGGGGCGGGGCCCTCTCGACGCCGAATGGGGGCAGAGTGCCGTGGAGCAGTTCGCGAGGCGGTGCGTTTGTTCGTGTATGGTGAGGCGGGGGGGGGGGGGGGGCGTATGGGCGCTCTGCACCCTTCCGTTCAGCGTACCAGACGTGTGGTGTGCGTGGCCGTGATGTTGTTACTTGTTAGAGTGAGAGGGCTGTCCAGGATAATGTTGTTTATGTTGGGGCCTAAAATTCCTTTTGCAACAGGTCTCGGCATGGGTCTCACACTACTCTAGCGCCGTGGAGCCCCGGCGTGGATTGGCACGTGGCTGGTGGGCGCTCGTCGGCCGGCGCGGGGCCCATGCGCCAGCCCGCAGCCGCGCCACACAGCACTCAGCAGCTGCATCGATTCAAACCAGAATCTGGGGCACGATTCGGTTCTCCCAGTCGCCGCGTGCTTGTAGCACGTCATTCACCGTCAGGCCATGTACTAGACGGTGATGCGTGCTCCTTGCATCTAGCAGAGGTCGGATGGCCCCAACTCGCGGCAGCAGCAGCTCGTACCAGGCATCAAGACGGGTCTTTGTGATCATTGCCCAGTCGCGCACGAGCACCATCGGGTAGCCTTCGGCCTGCAGCTGTCTGTCTGCAAGCGAAGAAGAATCACCAATGGGGATCACGCCCATCAAAAGCGCCTCCCAGACTCGCACGTTCTGTACGCAAGCGCCGATTGGGTTGAGCACGAATCGGTATTGCCTCAGCTCCCACCACCATTCGCGTCGTGAAATCTGTCTGTGGTCCAGCCAGTCGGCACCCTGCTGCACTGTGGCGCGTACCCACTTGAGCGCTCGCGCGCGCGAGGGCAAGCGGTCGTTTCCAGGCCACCATGCGCCCCATGCAGCCAATAGCACCTTTTCTGCCCGGCGCAGAAGAGGGGACGCACGGTATGCATCGCGGATCTGCATCGAGAAGGGACATATGTAATTGTCTGCGAGCCCCTCGGGGAGAGGCCGCAAGTTGGGGACAGATCTCACACTGGTGTCGAGGCCTTCGTAGTAGACGCGTCGGACTTGGCGGCTTTCCAGCAGCCGTCGCATTTCAGACCCCTGCATCCGCAAGACATCCGACAACGCAGCATCCGCACCGCCAACGGCCAACGCGTGGATGCGGTGCGAGCTGTCCAGCTGAGAGAGCCTCGATTTGAGAGCCTGGAGCTGTTCTGGCCCCGGAAACACTTGGACGTACACTGAGCGCGGCTGCGGATGAGATAAGTTCACCACGGGGCCGAACACGATCCAGTCATACAGCCGCAGCCAAAGCGGCATCGTCGACAGTCGGGGCATCCACCTCCCAATCACGAAATCCCGCAGAGGCCATGGCCATTCATGCGCTGCGTACGTCGGATCCATCGCGCTGCCGTTGGTCGCCAAGCAGCCGGTCATTTGCGCCGGCATCGGTGTGGCCTCGAGCAGCACGCACTCGCCGCCGGCACAGCGGCACCTGCCTTGAACCTGCTTGAGATCCCTCTGCTCCTCGGAGAGCGGCTTTCCCCGGCGGGGGCGCGAAAGCGCGCCGCAATGTCCGGCTGGCAGAAGAGCTGCCCTGTCCCGACCAGGCCGACACGCCCAACGCCCCCTGGTATCCTGTTGCGCTTTCAGCGCGGCACCACAGTGCGACCGACACCAGTCGTTGAGAAGGGCTGTGCATGTCGCCGGCCGGCGGGGTGCCGCTGAATGCACCACAGAACTGCCTGCGGGTGGGCCATGGTCCTTCCGGCCGAGTCCCTGGCCTTCCGAAAGCGCCGAGGGCGCAGCCGCAGCACCTCCTGCCGCCGGCCCTCCGACGAGCTGCTCCACGATGGCGTGCGCGTAGAGAAGGCTGAGCGGCATGTTCCAGTGCACGCCGTCGTACGTCAAGGTCTCCGCAGCGGCGCCCGGCGTTCGTATGAGCACTCGTCTACTTGTTTTTCACGGGAATTCGGCGTACTTGCGGCCATGCTATCACGCCTTGCGACAGCCTGTCGGCGCTGCTGACCGTGCCATGCTGCACAATTGATCACCTGCATAGCTCGCGGCCTTAGTCTTCAGCATTCAGTGACGACCTGATCGTACGGCCCGTAGGAAGGTGTCCTTCCATCGTGTGCACGCTTCTGGCGCAATGCGCGCCGCCTCGGATTGGCTGCTGGCACTCTCGAGGCTATGCCTACACAGCCTCGCGCGCATGGGCAGTCAAGAGGGACCACGCACCTTCTCAGGACAGCGCCGGTGCCTCTCTCTTGGACCGGCAAACTTGGTGGTCTAGTGTCACCAATGTGGGACCAGTGCGGCATCGCGCCATCGACAGCTCTGAACTGCGCCTCACCACTGACCGGGAAGGCCGCCAAGTGGGTCAGCACCGGTCGCACATTGTGGCAGCAGTCAGCAGCGCATGTCTGATAGCTAGAGCAGCAGCGTCAGGGTCGCAGGGTCGGATCGTGTCAAGCCTCTCGCCCGGCCGGCCGCGTGCAGACGTCGGCCTGTCTGCTGTCTGGAGTGATCTGTCGGCGGTCAGTACGACCGATCAGGTCAGAGTTTTCTTATGGTTAGAGGGTCTATCTGTATGTACTCCTCGAGATCTCTCCAAATCTGCCCTCTACTCAACCGTACTCATTCGGGAAGTTGAGAGCCGGAGCCCCGTTTCCGCAGTGCTGCGCGGCGCACGGTGTGGGCCGGGGGCCCTCGCGCCACCCCAGAGAGTGTACCCTGGCTGTGGTCCCACACCCACTGGTGTGTCCATCTCAGAGACCCGAGGAGGTCATGAGGGTCGATGGGAGTGCCACCCCACAATGCCTAAAAACCCAGCCCAGTACCGCGCTCTACCTGGACTCCACCCGGACGTTGTTTACGTGTTTGTCCAAGTGCTTCCAAGTTTGCAACTAGTCGTGCGGTTTAATCTATCTTGAGCGCACTTGAGCACTAGATAGAGTCGATTCCGCGTCAGGATCCATTGAGAGGTCTGTAGGCTTCATCACGAACGGGCTTCGGGATGCGCGATAAGATGCGACAACCGACATGGCTCATGGGCGATGGACAATAAACATGAACCGAGGCAAGCGCTGTCCGGCCTGGAGGCTGGGGATGCGCTAGCTTCTACTGCTACCGACACAAGGCTGCAGCACCTCTGCGTGATCAGGAGGCCTTCTTGGCCTTTGCCCTTGCGTGAGCGTCGGCCCGTAGCCTCGCGAAGCTGTAGCTCGTCACTCCGGCGATCGCCACACCCGCGCCGACGAGCTTGCGGCCGCTCGCCTAAGGTGAGGTAAGGCAAGACAAACCTCTCCACACACGCACGCGGCGGTGGGGCAGGGTGGGGTGGGGGGGGGGGCTCGCGACTCCACGTCTAGAAGGCAGGAGCCCCCGGCATCAAAATCGCAAGGGACAAGGTGAGTGCTGTTGCAAGGGATAGAGTGAGTGTTGTGCTGCTTGCGTCCTCGCCGAGGAAGGCGACACGGCGGAGGAGACAAACTCCACTACTCTCCGCGAATCTCGGCGACTCTCGCGCCTCCTCGCCGAGGAAGACGACGGCGAAGAAGAGGATGACGAGCCGCTTCGCGGCGTTGGCTACCGCCTACACCAACAAATAAAAGCGGAGACCCACGGTGAGATGGGTAAACAGGAACAGGTCCCGGCCCGTGCGATCTGTGTGCAGGGTTCTTTGTGGGTGTGGTCGGTGACTAGCCGGGGTCATCCTCCCGATGGCGACCGCCTGCGAGACGGGGCTCAGCTTGTCCAGGACGCGGAAGCCGCACCTGTTCACGGCTAGCCGTGTGAAGAGACGCGGTGCACATAGCTTGTCCAGGACGCGGAAGCCGCACCTGTTCACGGCTAGACGTGTGAAGAGACGCGGTGCACATTCAGAGCGCAGCCCATTGGGGCGGGCGCCGCACTCGTTGTACGCAAAGTAGTACAGCCCGCACAGCAGTAGCCTGGTGCGGGGAGACGGGGAGAGGTGGAGAGATAGCGAGAGAGATGCCGCAGCCCGCACACAGCAGTCGCCTGCGCCCCACCATGCTGCCGCCCTCCCCCGCGGCGGCGAGCGCGGCGAGCACCGCGGGTCCTTGCAAGTACGCCAATCAAGACGGTCGCCAATCTCGGCTAATCTTGGCTAATCTCAGCTAATCAATCAAGACGGCCACCCTCGGAGACGGGTGGGCAGACCCGGGGAGCTCTTCCGGCATCTGGCGCCTCGAGAGCTGGGGAGATCCGGGGAGACATTCGCATCTGGTGCCTCGAGGTCTGGGGAGATCTGGGTGGGGAGATCTGGGGAGAGATTTTCCCCCGCATCTAGGCGGTGGATTCCCTCTGCGGCGTACGACGGCGCGAGCAGCAGCGCGGCGGAGCAACACGTGAGCACGGAGTACGTGTTGGCTGCGTCGAGGCCATGGCGCCTCTTCATGTCGGCCGTCATGAGGCGCTTGACGAGCAGCTTCGCCAGCGCAAAGAAGACCGTCGAAGAGAGAGCCGCGACGGCTGCGAAGGAGGCGAGGTCGGACAAGTCAGCGGCCGCGCCCGGCTTTGCCGCCGCATACGCAATGCCGCCCACGATGGGCACGAACGTCAGGTTGACGTACCACGGCGCCGCCTTGCCGTCCACGGCGTAGGCGATTAGCGTGCCGATCAGCGGCTCGGTCGCCTTGATGATCGTGCCAAAGTAGACGGAGCCCGCGCCGATGCCGGCCACCTGCAGCGCGTGCCCGGCGGCGTGCAGCACCGCGATCGGCAGGAAGCGCAGCAGCACCGCCGCGGTCATCACGGGCGGCCGCCGCAGACCGAGCAGCCACGCGGGCACCGCGATGCCGATGCCGGCCGCGAGCTGAACCCAGGAGATGATCCACGGGTAGCTGAGCTCGTTGAGGACCCGCTTGTTCTCCACGTTGAAGGCGCCGTTGAAGGCGTACCAGGCGAGCAATGGGATGGCGGTGTCGAGAGCGGCGGTTGTGTCACTCGACGACATTTATAAGAGCGGGGAGGGCAAGCAACACGAGAAGCCGGTGAAAAAGAACGGTACTCTAACTGACGACAGGCTCGTACGAAAAGAAAACCGAGCCCCGTGTTGTTGCTTGACGGATGCGCGCTCGGTTTCATATTACGCAAAAGCTAGGCTACACAACGCCCTCTATGTTGGGTCAAGGCGGGCGCCGCGCTCGGTTCGCTCGACACCTCCTCGTAGCTGCCAGTCTCGATCATCCCGGGATCGCCTCCATGGGCGGCACGATGATCGAAGTTGAGAGAAAGTTTGCGCCGCCCGACCTCGTGCAGCTCGCGCGGCGAGTTGAGGAGCTCGGCGGGAAGCGGGTGAGCGAGGCGTCCTTCACCGACGTGTACTTTGACACGCCCGACTGCGCGCTCACGCGGCGCGACATCTGGCTGCGCCGGCGCGACGACGAGTGGGAGCTCAAGCTGCCAGTCGAGGCAAAGCCGCTGCCGCCCTCACCGCTGCCGCCTCCACTGCCGCTGCCTCTCTCCTCGCTGCTGCAGCCACCTCTCTTTCCGCCGTCGCCCCGCCCTCGCCGCGTCCCTGGCCGACGCCCTCGCCGCCGCCGCCGCCGCAGGCTGACGCCAAGCGCTCGGGCGGCGAGCGCACCGTCTTCCGAGAGGTGGAGGGCGCCGCGGCCGTTAACGAGGCGGAGGATGGAGCCGAGACTAGCCGAGCTCTAGCCGAGACCTGAATATGTCGCGCCAGAGAAGGAGAGCGTGCCGTCAGATTTCCCGCCCAGCGTCCACCCCGACCGCGCATGTGTCCAGTCCGAGCCTGGCTGTACTCCACCTCATCGCTTGCGTCTTCCTAGGCCTTGCGCGACCTGCTGCCAGTCTCGAGCACGTGCGAGGATTTGTGCGGCATCGACGACACGCTGCGCGACGCGGCCCTCGCGCCCTTCGCCGACTTCGCCACCACCCGCTCCAAGTTTGCGCTCGGCGGCTGCTCGATCGACGCCGACACGGCCTCGTTTGGCCACGCTGTGATGGAGATTGAGGTGCTCTGCGCCGACGCGTCGGGCGTGGAGGCGGCGGAGGCGGAGATTGCGCGCGTCGCCGACCTCGTCGGCGCGAAGCCGCTCACCAGCGCGCTCGGCGGCAAGCTTGAGACTTACATCAGGCGGCACGCGCCCGCCGTGCTGCAGGCGCTGGTGGAGGAGGGGATCTTGTCGAGAAAATAAGGGCTGGAAGGTGATTTCGTGTGCGCCAGTCCACACACGTGTCGTGCCCATGTCACTGTCAGGAGAACCTCGAGAGAGAGAGAGAGTCCCTCTCTCTCTCTCTATTGAAGCAGTGCCGAGAAGCTGGCTTCCAGCCCGTCGCGCCACGACAGCTGCGAGCACCCCTTCGAAAAGCACATGCGCCTACGCATCGCCGCGTGCCTCGCCACCGTCGCCGCTGCCACGCGCCCACCTGTGGTCGTCAGTGGCGCCACGGGTCGCGTCGGTTCCGCCGTCGTGCGCTCCCTCGTGTCTCGCCGTGGCAGTGCCGAGGGCGTTTATGTGCTGGCCCGGGACGCCGAAAAGGCACAAGCGATGCATGAAGGCGTGCAGTGCCTCTGTGCCGCACACGACGACGCGGAGGCGCTCGCGGAAGCTTTTGGGTCCGTCCCTTCGGGCTTTCGGCTCTTTGTCGCGTGCAGCAACTCGCCCCAGCAGGCTGCGCTCGAGGGCGGCCTGTGCCGCGCGGCCCACAGCGCTGGCTGCGCGTACGCCGTCAAGCTGTCGACAGCGCGGCAGGTCCTCGAGATGAAGCAGGGCGGCCCATACGTCGCCCACCTGGAGGTAAGAACGGCTGCGGGCAGGCTGGCATCACAGAGGGGCTGTTCTGATGCGTGTCCTCTAAACCGTGTCCTCTAAGGTGGAGGCGCTGCTCGCAGAGCTGGGCCTGCCGCACGCGGTGCTGCGCCCGAACCTGTTCATGGACGAGGTGACGATGGGCGGCTTCCTCGGCCTGCCCTCCGCATCTACGCTGTGAGCGTGGACGGCGTCTGCTCACACCTCTGGCCGTGAACAGGCGTGGCCGGCCCTCTGCGTGAGGCTGACGAGTGCTCGCACCCGTTCGCCCTTTCTCCGATCTCAATGATCGATGTGCGCGACGTCGCCGATTGCGCCGCCGTGCTGCTGGACGGCGCGCAGACCGGGCGGGGCACTGGGGGTGAGTGGTTCGACCTGACTGGCCCGGATGCAATTGCGCTTGGTGGCGAGCTCGCAGATTGCATCTCGGAGCTTCGCCCAAGGCCCGTGTCCATCACCGCGTGCGACGCGGATGCATTTGTGGCGCAGAGGGGCCTGCCGCCCGCCGCACTAGCGAGCCTCTCTGGCTTCCTCGGTGTCCTCGGCTCACATTGCGCGGACGTCACGGACGCGGTGCGCCAGATTACAGGCAGACCGGCGCGTAGCCTCCGCGACTTCGTCCGAGACCGCTCCACCGTCTTCTTGCCGAGCAGCTTCGAGCGGCTGCTCGGCGCGCCCGCGCCGTCGTTTGCCGCCGCGGCTCGCGTCGCCACCGCATCGACAGCGGACGACCTCGAGGACCTCGCCGCCGACGAAGTGCTGATTCGGGTGATGGTGGCCGGCGTCAACGGCGGTGCTGACACATTCTCCGTCACGCGAGCAGCCGCCGAAGCGACTGGCATCAAGCTCGGCGCCGAGGGCGTGGGGGTCGTCGTTGCCGCCGGTGCCGAAGCCGATTACGCAGCCGGTGACCGCGTTGCCTTCATCGGCGGCGGGTACAGCGAGTACACGCGTGTCAAGGCACGTCTGTGCAACGCGGTGGACGAGGGCGGCGATGCGGCGGAGCAGACGGCGGCCCGCGTCTCCGGCCTCACCGCGGCCGTCGCGCTCGGCCACACGGCGCCGGTGACGTCGGGCGACGTGGTAGTCGTCACGGCGTGTTGCGGCGCGACGGGCCCCTCCTTCGCCGTGCAGCTGTGAGTGTGAACGGCGTCCCTCCACACTTCTGGCCGTGAACAGGTGCGACCGGCTCTTTCGCCGTGCAGCTAGCGAAAGCCGCCGGCGCGAGCGTCGTCGGCACCGTGGGCAGCGCGGCAAAGGTGGACGCGGCAAAGCAACTCGGTGTTGACCGCGTACTCAACTATCGCCACGAGTCGCTCGCCGACGTGCTGGCCGCCGAATACCCTGGTGGCGTCGATGTTGCCTACGAGGGCGTCGGCGGCGCGCTACTCGGCGCCGTCTGCGCGAACCTCAAGCCAGAGGGGAGGGTGCTCATCGTCGGCTCGATCTCGCAGTACCCGCACAACGATGAGACGCCGCACCACGGCGTCGAGGGCGTCGGTGACACCATGGACGACGTCTTTCGGCCCGGCAGGACGGTGGAGCTTCCGAACGGTGGGCGGCTGATTGGCAATGTCTGGGGCGACGCCTTCAGCACAGGCGTGCTGCCGGCGTTCCGCGACCGGCTGTACGCAGACCTCGCGGCGGGGGAGATCCGCGCACTGGTCGACGGGACTCGCTTCTGTGGGGTAAGTGAGGCTCCGGCCGCCGTCGCGCACATGCTTGCGGGGCGCAACACGGGCAAGACTGTGTTGCACGTATCTGAACACTGACCGTACACACCATGGATTACACGCTTTCCGGGGGGGGGGGGGGCAAGTCTGGCTGACATCTAGGCTGACGTACGGCTTTTTGTTTTTTACACCACATCAATGAAAAACCGCCCTGGGCGTGAGGTTATAAAGCCGTACTGACCGCACTCCAAGTGCTCCAAGAAAAACCGCCGGGGCTAGGGGGCCCACAGCGCCCCAAAATGCACCACGGTGGTCGGTGGCCGTCAAGTCGAGATCGATATGCAGCTCGATGGTTTGCCCGAAAAGGTACATGGCGGCGTTTGGCGACAAAACAGCGCTGCGGCCGCGAAGTGGCGGTGGACATGCTCCCATGTTGCCGACGCGGCGCCGGAGTGGCCGGCGCTGCTCGCCGCGACCACGACGGCTACTCCGATGCTCCGGGCCGACCCGTCCTACCCAACCACTCTTCCACGTCTCGCTCACACTGAGAAAAATTCTGAAACGGCGTGCAGCAGAGTCGCCGACAAGTCGGTCCGCATGCCTCCTCGTGTCGCGCATCGTCTCACACATCCACAAACTCACTTTGGCCTCACTAAAGCGAAGTCTGAATCCTTTTTCCGTTAATCCTCAGATTTTAGACTAGGACGCTAAAGGGAACGGGGTGTTCCCGGGCATTCACACTATATTCCTGAGATAATTTGGCGATTATATCCATAAGGGATTTCATCCCTTCTTGGATTGGAGATTCGTGTTTTGGTTTCGGTTTTGGGTAAAACGTATACAGCGAACGCGATGCGGCCGCCTGGCTTCCTGCTTCTATGCGCGAGCTACGGCGTAATGGATACTGAACACCGCTATTACGCGTGATCGCGCCGCACGGACCCTGAACCTGTCCCAGGGCCTCTACGCCGCCGACCTCGTTGCCAAGTTCAGCGCCTATTTCGATCGGCCCATTCACGCCGCTTCGATTCGCCTATGGAAGAGGGGCTCGAATTGTCCGCCGACGATCAGCCCGCCGTTGGATCTGTTGAATACGACGAGATGTCCGAGTTCCGCACCGCCTACATGGCCATCGTCGGCGGACTACTGTGGCTTGCCAACATGACGCGCGTCGACATCCGAATGCCGTGCTCTCTAGGTAATCTGCGGGAGCTCCACAAACCAGGTTGCCCGCCCCAGCCACGCAATTCCTCGACCTCCCTCAAGAGCCCTCTCCAGGCCAGGGGAACATCGATCGTCTCGCTCGCGCCCGCTCCCGCCGCTCGCCGCCCGCTGCCGCCCGCGCCCGCGAACGAGTGTAGCCACCGTGTCAGCAACCCTGTGTCTGATCATTAGTCCCTCTCTCTGAAGTCCCTCTCTTTTTGCAAGGCAACATCTTACCCAACCCCCCCAAAGCCCTACCATAGATAGACTCACATAGCCACGGGTCCTTTTTAAACGGGGGTTCGGGGGCTGGCCCCTGAGAAAAAGATAGTCCACGCCAGCCCACTCTAGTTGACAGGAGCGCGGTCGTTCTCTGACGTAGGAAGGCCGGGGGGTTATTTTTTTTACAAAGCGCACAAAGTACGCAACCAACCCAAGACCGGGAAGGGCAGCCTCTTCTTTGAGTAGCCTCATCACCTGTGAAGACCTAAAAAAGAAAAAGCACGTCTCCCCCAACCAGAGGAAGGAAGGCGTCGCCCACTTTCGCCTCCCGCCGGCTCGTGGAAATGGGCGTGTGCGGCTCGAAACAGGACGTGGTCGAGGTCGCCACAGCTTCCCAGAAGCCCCAGAAACAGGACTCGGTTCCGAAGCTCCTCCCGGAAGAAGCAGCGGCAGAAAAGGCGCGGGACGACGAGCAGGAAATCGGCGAGACGAGCCTTGAAATGATCAATGTCGGAGGGATCGAGACGGACGCGCCAGGGGGCACGCAGCGGCGCGGCTACCTCGTCACCGTCGCGGACCTGGTCGGCCCGCCGCCCTCTGACCGCACCTGGCGCGACGAGTTTGCCGAGGCGCTCTCGCAGGCCGACGACCTGACCGGCGAGGCCGCCGCCGCTGCCGCCGACCGACGGAGGGGCAACGAGAACATCCGCTTCTACCTGCGCGAAGCGGGCGGCGGGGTGCTGGGCGAGGCCGTCGACGACCTCGTCGCCAACGGGTGGGCGCAGGACGACGCGGAGCTCGTGACGCTCCTTCCCTCTCTTGCGACCGCATCGCTCCGCCGGGCGCTGGCCGAGGGCCGGCGCGACCTCGGCGCGAGCTGCCACGCGCTCGTCCGCGTCCTCGCCGAGCGCGCCGCCGCACAGGGCGAGGTGGCGCCGCCGCTGTACATGGCGCTGCGCGGGGTCCGGCGGGGCGACCGGCCGCTCCACGGGATGGTCGAGGATGAGCCCGGCTTTGCCGGCATCGAGGTGCCCGACGCGACCAACTTTCGAGGGCTCACCGCGCTGAGCCCGCTCAACTTCGCTGCCGACCCCGTCTGCATGGGCGAGGAGGGCTACCATGCGCAGGTCCAGGAGGAGGGCGGCGAGCTGGTGCACCTCCCCGGCGACGTCGTGTGCATCCTCTCGCAGCCCAACGACGCCGCCGGCTACCACACCGCGGTGCTGACCCAGTACGACCCGCCGTCCTACGTGCTGCCGCCCAACACGCTGCTCCGCCTCGTCAAGGTGGAGGGCCCGCCCTTTACGGCCACCTTTCGCCGCTGGACTCCGTGGTGCACCGACGCCGACGGCGACCGAGCCACGTACGACCACCTCACCGGCACGTCCTACTTTGACAAGGGCGACCACTACGAGGACCAAGACGGCAACCGCGTCGACTGCCCGTACGACGCGGCCGCCACCATCGAGAAGACGGTGCAGCAGCGGCTGCTCACGTGCACGCTCACCTTCCTGCTGCCGTCGGGTGGCAGCCTCGCCGACGAGACGCGCGCCGCGCTCGCCGCCGACGCCGACGCGGCGGCCGCCGAGTGCACCGCGTCCAAGTTTGGCGAGAGCGTCGTCCCGCTCCTCTTCCTCGCGCGCAAGGCGTACGTGCGCGGCACCGACGAGCTGACGCGCGGCCTCGCGCACACGATGGAGCACGAGTGGACGCGCGCGGGCCTGGCGTGGAAGGACTGGAAGGGCGTCGAGTACACGGGCCGCGCGGTGTGGGGCTACGTCTCCGGCGCCGCGTTTGTGGCCGAGTGCACGCCCGGCATGCGCGACGTCAGAAACGTCGGCATGCGCCCCGCCGACTTCCTCAAGCGCGCCAACGATCACGTCAAGTCGCGGCTGCCCCGCGCGACGGCGGCCGACCTGCTGACGCTCGACGAGGTGCTCTCCATTCGGCTGTATACAGGCGCCCGCCTTGCGCAACTCGTCCCCGTCTCCCCACGCACGGGCGAGCCGCTGCTCACCGAGGCTTGCTGGTGTGTCCGCCATGACGCAGGTCCCGCGTTTGACATGATCAACTGGTGGCTGCGGCAGGTGGCGTGCCTGCCCAATCCGCCGCCCAGGTGGCATCCGCAACTCACGGGCGCGTGGACCGCCGAGCGCGGCCGGCTCGAGCCCGAGGCGGCGCGCCGTGCGGCGGCGCTCGACGCGGCGAGCTCGTTTGGCGCGACGGTCGGCCACCTGGTCGCGGCGCTGCGCAAGCTCGCCGCCGCCAACACGGCGGACGAGAATGAGCGCACGCTCTACCGCTGCATGAAGGGCGCCATCTCCGGCAGCTTCTGGCTCCCGGATGCGCAGGGCATCGTGTGCGCGGTCGACTCGGCGTTCATGTCCACCGCGCTCGCGCCCAAGACCTTCTACATGGACGCCAAGGGCAAGCCGTCCGTGCTCCTCGAGCTGCGCGCCCGCGGGCAGGACGACGCCGGCTACCACTGCGGCGCCGAGGTCGCCTTCCTCTCGCAGTTTGAGGGTGAGCAGGAGGTGCGCCAGAGCTCTGCGCGGCCGCCTTGGACCGCGTTCCATTGCCACTCGTGCTTGCAGCTCAGCCCTTGAGTGTGTGCCCTTGACCCGTGGGCCAGCGCCTCGTCTCCCACACGCTGCGCAGGTCATCCTCCCGCCGCTCACGATGCTGCAAGTCATGCCGCGGCACCCCGCCCCAGCAGATCTGCCTCCACCTCCGGCTGAGGGCTCGTCCGCCGACGCGGTGGTGGCGTGGTCGCGCATGAAGCACGATGTCACGTGGGAGCGCACGGAGGATGAGAAGGATTACGAGCGCATCGTCGCTGTGCCCACCTTCACCGGCTAGGCCGCTGGTGAGCATCCCTCGTTGCTCTCGCGGCATCTCGCAGTGGTGTGCGGGCATCGCAGAAGATGAATGTGTGGCTGCGTTGCGCGTGCGCTTCGCACGCGCGAACTTCTCCGTAGCCCTCTTCAAACGGGGATCCATTCACGCCGTTTGTTGGTGTTGACACGCCCGCTCAGTCACTGTCTCTGTGGTCTTCGATCAGAGCGGGTTGGCTGCGCGCTGCCCGGCCGTGGCCCCTCGTCAGCCGGCGGCAGCGGCGACCTGTGCATGGCCGACGTGGAGGCGTGGCACGAACGCTCGGAAATGATGGCGAGGCGCGGGGCGCGGGGCGCGGGGGGGGAGGCGTGACTCGTCTCGTTGAATGAGAGGATTCTCCGCTGCGCGCACGCTTGCCAAGCCGCTTGGCGGGAGATGGGGTAGCGGGTAGGTGCATGCAGCGGGACGGTACGGTAGGGCCCGGGGCCGACGGTGAATCGCATGTGCAGGCCATATTGGCGAGTCGTGCGACAGCTGTATCTCTTCCGGTCTTGCGGCCGCCCACAGCTGCATAAGTAAGGCCTAAGGCCTAAGGCGTGCGGGCCGTGTATTTTGGGTTGTGTAAGTATGGTACTACTACTAGCGGAGAGCACAGAGTGCCTGACTGCTGTGGGAGCCTCTAGATCTCTACCGTACAGACCTACAGCAGCGGCGGCGGCACTGCTGCCGCGTCCGCCCCGTCTCCCTGGGGGTCACACTTTTGCATTCAGTGGGGCTCTTTCATGCACAGCGCAGCGTATAGCCGTACTCAGAGGTGTTGCACATGCGCACCTGGAGGCACCTCGTCCCAGATTCACAGAAATGTATCAACCAAAACCTTGATCAAACTCTGACCATCGGGACAAAAACAGCGATGTTCACACCGCCTTTCCAATCACCGCGCTTGCTCGAGCAAGCGCCGTGATCGGACAGCGTCTCACCCGGATTGTCTACCGCCCGATCTCTACTACGGGCGGTGAGTAGCACTAGTGTCCGGCTGGCGGTCTACGTCCTCGATACTGTCGAGCCACGCGGCGCTGAACTCACTCGCGATCCGCACACGCGCACAGAGTCGGTAGTACCACACATCTCACTCAGCTCTCTACAGTACACCGCACAAGTCTCGAGGCCGCACGGGCGCACGTGTAGGGTGCACGGCTATAAACAGCCTCGAGTCACAATGCCTCATGCCAGCATGCGGAGCACAGACCAGACCGCAAAGTGGTCGGAGGGCAGGCACGCGATTGTCCCGGCCCCCTCCGGCGCAGGCACGTCCTCCTCCGTGTGATCGATCACGAACCTCTCCGCCTGCGTGAATGAAATGGTGTGAATGGGCCGTGGACGGGCCGTGGGGGTGGGGCGTGAACGAGGGTGGGTGGCTGTGGACGAGCTGTGAATGGCTGGGCTTCGCCGCTCCCGCTGACGCCACGATTGGTGTGGCGGTGGCAGGTACGTCCCGCGGTATCTGCTCGACCCGCAGTGGCGGCTGCGCGGCTCGCTGGCGGTGCTCCTCATTTGGTCGCGGTACCAGCGGCGGTTCAAGGGCACCGACAGCGCCACTGTGCCAAGTGGGTGTGAATGGGGTGTGAATGCGGTGTGAATGGGGCTGTGCTCGATGTACAGCAATCGATCCTTCCACTGCCGCCAACAAGTTGCCCAGAATCGAACCCACCCAAACCGTCACTGCGGCTCGAGCCAGAATGCTTTGCCCCCCCCTCCTCCCTCGGCGAAACCTCGGTGCGTGCGCCGATTCGAGCGACGCCTGCCTGAGGCGGGGCGGGCTCCCGTCCGCCAGCGATTTGCTCGCCCAGCGGCTGCCCGCCTGCCTGCGCTCGCCAATCTGCCCCCCCCCCCCCCCCCCCAGTGCTCAAGTGCTCAAGATAATTAGCGCGCAAGTCATTTGCGCCGAAAGCCGATATCGCCGCAAACCGCGAACGGACCGGGCGCCTCGGTCGCGCACTCGCATGAGTCGCTGCGTCCTTGGTTATCAGCGTACGGTCATGATGCGAGTTCGACCCCTGCTGATCCTGCTTGTATCCCATCTGGCGGTGAGGGGGGACACGAATGTCTCGGAGAACTCGCGCCTGCAAGCAGCGGTTGCGCTGGAGCGCATGTACGCCAAGGTCTCGGAGCTGGAGAAGCGGGTGGTGGCACAGGCTGCAGAAATTGAACAACTCAAGCCGATGGCGCGGGCTGTCGTCCCATACCAGCCCAATCAGCGACGACGCACCGAGGCATCCGATTGCACTCTCTTTCCCGTCGAGGGCACCAAAGACCCGCACCTGTCCTTTGCTCGCGGCGGGCGGGCGGACTTTCGCGGCCACAACGGGCGAGCCTGCCGCGTGTAGCGCCCCTCCGCCCTCCACCTGCCGCGTGCTGCATGCACCAACGTTGCCTTCCGCCCACGCAGGGAGATGTACTGCTTCCACACTTCGCCCGGCTTTGCGATCAATATCAGGACCGAGGACGCCACCTTCACTCTTTTCAAGGGCAAGCTGACGGTGGAGGGCTCCTTCATCACCGAGGTGCACTTCGTTGCCAGCACGGGGCGAAGGCCGGGCGAGCTCGTCCACGCGGCCTTCTGGGGCAGCGAGCTCAAGTGCGAGATCCCAGAGAGTCTGCCCGGCCCCCAACGTTGCCGACCCCCACCCGGATCCGTTTTCTTAATGTCCCATAGCGAGTACAACACCGGGCCCAACATGATCACCGGCCTCTGCGGCGAGCGGACCTTCTTCTTGGGCCCAGGCCGGTCCTACTCCTGCGGCACCCTCATCGTCCAGACGAAGCACGCCAGCGCCACCTTCACGACCCCGGAGTGGCAGTCCACCGTGCGGGGCAACTACGTGTACGACCGCCTTTCGGGCCCGATGCACCGTCTCGATGTCTCGCTTCGCGCCAACAAGCGTGTCGCGGCTGGAACGACGCACGGTGCGGCGGAAAACCTCACCCGCCCTCCGCCGCCTCGCAGTCACCTCCTGGCCATTCTCATGGCCGCTTCAGCCTCGCCCCATCCCTCCCCGCTCTAAGCCTCCAGCTCTAGCCTTAGCCTCGCTCCCATCCCGCCCCATCTCTGAATGCACCTCGCAGGCCTCGTCGGCCAGAGCTTCTCGGCGCCGGGGCCGCACAACGGCAAACGCGACTTCTACCCGACCGAGGGGCGATTCCGCACATCGGCGATGGCCGAGGGCGCCATCGAGGGCTCCGCCGAAATGTACCGGCTTCCCTCTGGCGACACAGTCGAGTTTGACTTCTCTCGCTTTTACACCGCCGCCCTGGCTTCTCGCCCTGGCGGGCTTCTCCTGGCCGCCGGCGAGGCATCGGCGGTGGACGAGGGCGGCGACGGTGGCGGACCGGGCGCCGTTGCTGCCTCTGGCCGTCCTTCGCGGCGCCTGTCTGAGCAAGACTGCGACAGTGACGGCATCCCCGACGCGGAGGAGGGCACGGGCGACGCGGACAGCGACGGCATCCCAGACGTAGGCGACCACACCAACAATGCCCGCGGATTTACATGGAACAACCTCGATCTGCCCTCTCCGCCGCCGCCACTGCCGCCGGTCCAGGTCACTGGCCCGTGCTCGCTCACCGACGGCGGCTCGTGCGCCACGTCGTCACACCACCCGGGCAGCTACGGCAACAAGGAGGAGTGCACCATCAGTGGCGTGCCGGCGGGCTGGAGGCAGTCGCCTTTGATGTGGAGGAATGCGAGGAATGCAAGTGCGACTACCTCACCGTCAATGGCAAGCGGTACTGCGGCACCCTTGGGCCGCAGGGTGTGGTGGTGGAGGACGGCGTCTTCGAGTGGGTCTCGGATTCGAGAGTGGTCGCATCGGGCTGGAAGGCGCGCATAAAATCTACCTCTCCCCTACCCTTGGCTTCTCACGTTTCTGACACATCCTCCTCCGTCTGCCGTCAGGTCTGCTGGGCGACTCAGCCACCTTCACCGCCGCCGGGAGACCATGACAGTGACGGCATCCCCGACAGCCTCGACCCCGATGCGGACGGCGACGGCAAGACCGACGCGGAGGAGGGCCAACTCCGATGCGGCGGCTTGGGAGGTCCTAATGAATATCCGAACAAGTGCACCTGTGACGACATTATGCTGACCCTGCACTATTCCACTGTACTACAACATCCACCCTGGAATGCTTTTTTCAGCGTCAAAGGTGCCGTTGTGCAACTGAACCCGCCGATCCAGATTGGGTTTGAAGGGACAAGTATCTCGGCGCCTAGGCCCGTGGGGTGCGAATCCAACATGACGATTCGCTCAAACCAGGGGCCAGACTCCGGGACAACTCAACGCGGCATCCAGATCACAGCGCTCCCTACCAGTCGTGGCTACCGGGATTACTTGACGTTCAACGCATTTGGAATGGTGTTCTTTGGATATGACGGCACCTGTGGGGGGGGTTGCCAACACCACCAGCCAGATTTCGATGACTACGCAGTCCACTGTGGATCGTCATATTCTTGTGCTAATAACGGAGCGGGGTCAAGAAACCTAAGGAGAATCTGCGCGGCGTGGGGCTACCCCAATCACTCCGGAACATACGTGGACAACTGCGGTAGCGGTAGCCCATGCAACCAACGCAAGGCGATAATAGGGGATGCCAGGGGCGTGGTCTGCACCAGCGGGACCCCATATTGCCGGGAAGACGGTGGGTATTACCAGACCTGGACGCCGCCCTCCGAATGTTGTGGGTACAACCACTACGACGACACCTGGGGGTATGATTACACCACCATTCAGTGCTGGTGAGTACAGTCATCACTGACGGAGCCATCTAGGCCGCCTACCCCGCCGCCATCTTCGTGGTCTTCTCGCCTCTCCACTATGTCGCCTCTGGCCGCCGCGTCCGGGACTCGTCCTCGACCTGCCCAGTACACTGCCCAGTACACTTCCACCTCCGTCGCTGCCCGAGGAATGCTCTCCCACTCTTGTGTGTCATTACGCATGCATTCCCACTCTCGTGTGTCATTACTCGATCCCATTTGTTGGGGAATTGGGTTTCCTTCATTCAAATTTTCGCCACACCGGGAGCCCTGCCTGCCACAGGTGCCACCACTTGAGGCGAACTGCGGGTAAATAAATATTTTTGAAGGGATGAACGCGAGCTCGTGGGGTCCACGAAAGCACCGCTTGGCGGTGTCAGAACCGCCCTCTTTGACCCTGGGGGGCCGAATCTGCGCCCTCTCGGCCCCGGCGGCGGTCCCAGAGTCAGAGGGCCGGCACGCGGGCTCCGCCGACGCTCTCGCAACGCGGGTCGCGCCGCGCGCCTCCCGGACGAAGCGTGTTGGTGTGCGACGGCGATCCTCGCCTGCAGGGAGCGGAGCACACGCGTCGGATGGCGAGGGCAGCACAAATATTGCACTCACGTCCCAGTATGGCAGCAGCCGGACGGGTTGGGTGGCGTGAGGGCAGGGTGGTGGGGACTGAGGATGATTCCACAGTGCGTCGTAGCTCGTACTCGTACCGTAGTGCTAGTGGTCCATCGCGCGCCGCGCGGCGCCGCTGCGAGAGAGTGTGTCTCGCGCCTTGCGGAGGAGGGGGGGGGAAGGTTTATCTTCACAAGAGCGTCAACTTCGGCTGCACCAGCCCGCGCAACCTCCGCACATACCGTGACATTGCCACAATGACTGCGTTAAATCGGCATG